AGAAAATCGTTCAAAAGAAACCCGGGACCTCCATGTCAAGTGTACGAGTTAATTACTCTCGTCACTTGATCCCTCTACCCTTGTTTCCTGCTTCTTAACAGAACAAATCTTGACTAGATGATTTTATCATTATAGCATATATATATAAAATTGGGGGACATAATTGGGGAGGGGACCACCGAGCACCCGGGGAGTGCCAGCTCATCTGGAGATTCCGGGCACCGCCCAGTTGGCGTGGAGACTGTCGGACCATCTAATTATCTGCGTCTCGACAGGCCGCTTTTGTTATAGAAGCGCAAAACCATCAGAATACTACTTTGAGTGCTCCTGCTACGCTTTTCGTCTTCCTTGCTTTTTCCTCTGTTGTCGCCAGTAGAAATTCTGATCTCACACATCACATTTATGTCCATTTCATTACCTTGTCGCCGCACGGTCATTCTGTTGACCACAGTTCGCAAAAGTTCCTTTCCTATGTGATTTCTTCTAACTCTGGATGCGTCCAGTTCCTGCAGGTGTGCAATTTGCTAACTTTTTGAGTACGCTTTTGCTTCAATCTTCTTCTTGGATATCGGTGTATATCTGAATCGCATCATACTATTTCGCAAGCTCGCCGATTGATTCGCTGTGTGGGTTCCTCTGATTTTGGCAATGCCTCACACGTTTTACACAAGACAGATTGCGTAATTGAAATGTGGGCGCAGATAGATGCAATGTGCGGCAACAAAACAATGAACACAATTTAATATGTGAACTTCTTTTTCATTTTCGAACCATACACTGGCGGCAACAGAAGAAAGAAGCGTGGGGATGGGAAGCGTGGGCGAGCGCACTCAAAGTGGTAAGTTTGATAATTTTGGCTTCTATGACAAAAGCGGCTACGGGCTGCTACGGGCTACTGGCGGCTGCTGGCGGCTGCTACGGGCTGCTGGCGGCTGTTGCGGGCTGCCAGCGGCTGCTACGGGCTGCCAGCGGCTGCTACGGGGCTGCCAGCGGCGGCTGCCGGCGCGGTATGAAGGCACCCTTAGGACCATTTTGTAGAGCAAGGTTGAACTTAGATTTGCAGTATGGAGCGAATCATCTATCGCTCTTCATTAGTATAGGATTACGGTGTGAACTTCGACAAGGATTTTAGGCCATTGGAGGCTATATTCTGCGTCGGAATGAAACTAAACAAGTCGAAAACTTATACTACGGTACTGGGAGCCGCTGATTTCGAATTTGATATCCCCATTTTACTGATGCTTCTTTCCTAAGTTATACCAGTAAATCGTAATAACTCAATTCTCGCATTTGTCAGAAATGTAATTACACCGACAAAAAAGCTAAAACACTCATAAGAAGTTGTTAGGTGGAATCAGCATGCGCGAAAACCGCGAAATTTCAGATTTTTTGCAGAAAATTTTGTTAGGTGGTATGTTTCAAAATGGTTCCATATGCTGGAAGTTCTTACCGTAATCCTATAGTAATGAAGAGCAATCAATGATTCGTTCCTTACTGTAAATCTAAGTTTAACCTCGCTCTGCAAAATGGTACCTAAAGCTTCTCGAAACACTTCATTACAAGAGAGTTATCTACAATCAAACAGTAGGTAATCTTTTTGGGTCACCCTGTATAGGCACGCGCCACACTTGATCCACTTCATGCACATGATTGGCTTGATCCACTTCGCTACTAGTCAGATTAGTGAAGTGACCAATAGCAAAGCGCATGTCCGTGATCCACTTCATCCCTTTCGCTATTGGTCAGCTTATTGATTTCACCAATAACGAAGTGGATGAGGTGGATTAAGTGAATCAAGTATGGCTTGTGCCATGTGCTGCGGGCAAACGCGTTCGCGCCCGCTTTGCTTCTATGGAAGTTCGCCTTTGTGTCATGAAGGATATATTCTCTGCTAGGTACAGGCTGAAAATTTGTGCAACGACGGCTGCTCTGTCGCTCACATCATCATGGTCGTTTGTATTTCCCCAGTTTTACAAAATGTAGCGTGTGGACCATATGGTCCAGAGAGCCATTGTCCTCCAGCTTTATGCTTCTTCATTCCTCTCTTTCTTCAAACTTCGTGCCATTTTTGCACACTGTTTGGACTCAATAAGGGATGCGAAAACGCTAGAAGTGGCGAAAGAAGAAAAATGATAGAGCTTGTGAGACGATGAGATCACGAAGGATGTGGTCCTCACGCGCTACAAGATCCTGGAAAGCTAGAAACGCTCCAAAACCGCGCACTTATGATGGTGCAATATCGTCGAATCGCCACCGCACGAGCGGTCATAGTTTGCGGAGCACGCGCTGCCTCCACTGGAATTTTACGGGAGCACGGCTTGTATAATAGATTTGTGGTGGTACAAGCGTTCAGCCGCGCAATGCGTGCTCCACAATCTACGGCAGGTCCGTGCGGTTAACGGCTCGACGTTACAGGGCTCCTAAATTGCAGAGTCGTTTGCACCAGCGGTCGCGCGACCGCGTCGCGCCCGGGCATCAATGGGCGCCGCCTCGATCGATGGCGGCGGCGCCGGCAAAATGCACGGGCGCGACGCGCTCACGCGAGCTGGTGCAAACGACTCTGCAATTTAGGAGCCCTGTACATGTCGAGGCAGTCGTCGCGTTAGATTTAACCGTTTACTAGTGCCACACGCCTTTTCGACAACCTTGCTTGTACCCTTTGCTTCAACCAGATCGGCGGCTGGAAGGCGGGGCTCCGTGACCCAATTTAGGCCAAAAAATGACCAGAGAGCACGTTCGCGAGGGTGGCGGAGACTGCGTCGCTGATGCGAGCAGTCGCGTCCTAGGTCATGAAGTCCCGCCTTCCAGCGGCCAATCTGGTTGAAGCAAAGGGTAGACTAACGGCCATGGACGCAGCGCTTGGGAAAGAGGATAGAGGACTTATGTCGCCGGTTGGGAGGGTCCCGCGTTGACAATGCAGCAGCTACTCAGTCTGTGCATGCATTGGAATGTGTATTTGTTGCAGATATTCGGCGGGACCTCTCACTTTTGGCGACATAGGTATATCCACAATTGCTGCTGCCCTGCTCTGCGTCTACTTGCGCTTGGCTTACACCTTTGACATATGCAACGAGTTCAGCTCACAGCGAAAGCCGACACGTTGTTGCATGTTGTCAACATGTCAGCCATATGAGTAGGGTGACTCGTAAAATAGTGACGAAACCGCTAGCGCTCGTCGCGTATGCAGTTCCGGGAACCGCATTTTCTTTGCTTTGGTCTCTTTTCAAAACAATTTCTTTGGATGCAGATGATAGCTACTGGATACTTGCAGTGAGTATCTGTGCACTGATTGATACCTTTCCTATGAGTGCTACATGCTCTTACGAAGTTTGTACGCGTGCAGAGACCGCAGTCGAATTGCTCGTCACGGTTTTATGAGTGCCCTATACCTTTGGTTAGAGACGCAAAGTAAGGGTAGTTAGGCGGAGGGCAAGCGTTAGGCGACAAAACGTGCAAAACGCAAGCAACGTAAATTCCGTAACTCAAAACTATGCACCATTTTTTCATTGGCGTCGGGTAATGTATCGGCCCCGACCCCCACCCCCCTGTTTTTGGCGGAGGAGACGTTTTGCACGGGGAGTTCTTTGGGGTCCAAAAAATTGGGTTTGTCGCCTAACGCCCTACACCCTAGTTAGGCTGGGGTCACACTGATCGTAGTATCCGGAACAATTCCGGCAAGCGCACAGTTCGCTGTGCTGCAACTGTTCCGGAACTTACGGATAAGTATGAACTCAGCCTTAGCAGCACTCATGGAGTGGGTGGTGTCTAAGGCCGTGGGCATACCTCATGCGATCTCAGTCGCCACGTGATGTGGCAATTTGCCAGATGTCCCCAAATTCAATAATTGCATACCCCAAATGCACAGCATGTATAGTTCATTTATAAAATCGTGACGACGGATTTGACTGCAGTCTTTGCGCGCAAAGGAGCATAAAACGTTCCTACAAAAAGGCATCACCTCAACACTTAGCTCAGTCACATCCAGTGTGTAAATGTTATCATACGTAAGCAGAAAACCCATTCGAATAGGGATGACATCTAAAGAAAATGCGGTTGTCGGAAGGTGCGTGCGTGTCGCGCGCGGCCGCGCCATCGTCACGATTTCTCAAATGCCCTATAACTTCCGGCCTCATTCCACAATAGTTGACCCAAAACATGAAAGTCGGAGTTTGGCTGAAACTTCTTCTAGGGGTCCATTATTTTATACGCTGATTACGTTTATATTATTCCACACCAGTGCCAACTGATGGAGGTAAGGTAGGATTACGGTAGGGGTGAAAATTATCACGGATTTGCCTTAAAATTCGTCTAGGGGGCTATTTGGTGCGCTGAACGAATAATACACTCATTTCTTGCTGGCTAATAAATCCGATTTTGTTCAAGACTTTGCGAGGTCCACAAGCATGCTGATAACGAATACCATGTTCGTTCGCTGTAACAACGCGTTATTGAGCTTGTTATGTAATCAGCGCTTAAAAGCTTGTGCAAAACTTTGAGTGAATTTGGAATTTTCAACCACCTTGTATACCCACCGTAGTCCTAAAAATGGCGCTATCGTACGAAATGAATATAATATTCATGTTCAGCCTGCACATAACCTTCCTAGACAGAGTTTGGGGCAAATCCTTGATTTTGACCTCCTACCGTAATTCTATCGTAACTCCTTCAGATAGCGCTACCGTGCGGAATAAACGCATATTCGTAAACAGCATGTAAAATAATCCGCTCTTATGTTAGACGAAGTTCTAGCGAAATCCGCGGTTTTCACGTTTGGGACAGCTAATGTGGAATAGTACCGACTCGTAGGTTAATAAACTGCCCTATCTTCCGCACATCAGAAACCCCCCCCCCCCCTAAGGTGAGTTATGTACAAATGGAGTACCGCTAATCGCGTCGCGACTGAAATCGCGTGAAGTATGCCCGAGGCCTGAAAGGTGTATCATAGTCGTTGCTAATTGCCAATGATTCTCGTCAAAGTCTTTGACTTAGCTCAATTGCAGGTCGATACAGAACCGTGCAATGCCGGTGGTTGTGGATTTTGATAAGCAGATAGGAGAACCGCAACGTGTACCAGGCGTCGGTTGGGCTGTTCCTTGCGATGTAGTGGGATTGACTAGCAAGAAAGCCAAGATGGTGAAGGTAAAGTTTTTTGTTACACTGACAGAGGTTATAGTACTTCACATTTTTGTTGTGTAGATTTACGAGTGGTGAAAAGTCTCTCGGCACTTTTGGAAATGGATATGATTCCATATCGTTCAGTCTGGCCGATGTTCTATGGTAATGGGGAGCAAACTAAGTTCGGTGATAGTGCGGTTTCTTCTTTTCGACGTCAAAACGTTTTGCAAATGGAGAGCATCTTCAGCAAGACAGAACTCTGTAGATGTTTCTTTGCTAAAAACTGCAGCACTTAGCAAAAGAAATCATCTGAACTCATGAAGATACAGAAGTTATTGCGTTGCGGATTTTTTATTTAGTCTGAGTGGACAACAAAATTTAACGACTTTCTACTTTCATTTAAATGGTTTTTGAAAGTTGCAAAAACTCAAGTCAGCTTTGCGAAAATAAGGTTCGGTTGGGGCTTTCCACCGCGCTCTTTTCTTTTCGACTCGCAAAGCATCGGAAATGTTTTCGAAGGATAAGCTAACAACATGCTTACGTAAAGCTAGACAGTGAAAGTAATCACTAGGTACAGTTCGCGATTTCCACCTGTTCAGTGGGGCTTGAGCTGAGCTAGCCATTGTTGGAAAATGAGAGTGATGAATGTGAGTGAAATATGGGTAAATGAACAAAAGCCTAGGTCATATTTCATCATACAGCTTCGCGTTCTCTGCTAATTTATATACCATCTGAAATCATTTTCAGGTCCGTTTTCACCCCTCTGTAGATGGTTTGAGTCGCCTGGACCAGCACGTTGCCAGTGCGGCTACTAGGGACGGTCTGAAGGTGGTTATCTCAAAATGGGGTTTTCGGTACTCTTTTAGTTTGAATTTAGTTTCTCGACGCTTTGTTAGACGGCAGCGACTGGACACGTCAAGAGGTGAAACCTGTCGATCCTCGCATTGGTTACCTTGAGAGGATAGCTCATTTTCTGCATACCCGCGAGCCTACGGTGTCCTTCAACAGTCGGAGGTATAGAGTTTCATTTTCTCACAAACAGTATGCGTGTATGTCAAGTTTTACTTATAGTTTGGACCTAATCTGGTCGCTTCATCCGGAGTCACATTCCAACGGGAAACTCGACAAGTTCTTAGCGGATGTTCGTTGTTCACTTCACAATCACTCCATTGCAACCGCGATAATTGCAAAAGTACAAACGGAATCCAGTAAGTAGAGTTTTCGTTCTCTGTGCTCACATTGTGTAGCGCGCGGTTTGGATGCTCAAAGTTAGCTTCAAAATAAATGTACCCTAGTTTGACGGTGCACATCAGCGTATTGAGCATTCGAATCAAGAGTAATGCCGCAAGCTATGCATGATTAGTTCTGCACAATTAGCACGATCTTTTATCTTCTTGTGTGGAGTCCAGACCATGATTCTACTCAGATAATCGCCGGGGGCAGGCGGCCATGCGATTTATGGGCGGGCGGGCACCGGAAAAATAGTTCGCTGATTTCTTGCGGTCCGCCTGCAGATATTTGGAAGAATTTTAGCACAATTTTAGAAGAATGCTTGGAGAACAATCGCGGTTTCCTTATAGATTAGCTGCGGCGCAGTGGCCGCATTCTCGCGGACTTTCCGCGAGAATATGCAAAAACATTGAGGGCCGCATGGTCCTTTGTGAAGGACCGCACAGCCCGTAGGTACTTTCCGCTAGAAGAAGGTACCTCAAACTTGAGTAATTAAACCATCGATGACACCTCATAGAGACTCATCTTTACTCGGCGTATGCCCGAAACTGCGTTAAAGGCAGTGTCCGGGCAAAAACTCGATTTTTAGAAAATCCACTTACTGGGGGTTATCCGCAACGCTGAATCCGAAAATCCACATTAGAAGGCGCGAAAACGGCGAAAACATACGTTTTCCAAAGCCGCGCAATTTGAAATTTGACGGTCCCACCAAGGCAGAGACGCAGAGTCGCTGCGGGACCCTACATTTTAACTGTGGCGGCATGCGTACTCTGCCGAATAGCAGGAATTCGGACAGCTCAGAGGACCCCGCCCCAAGGCGTAAGTTTCTCCACTTTCTGGTCGTTTTTCTTGTTTTAGGTCGAGCGTTATGACTCGCACTTGCACGATGTTGTGTCTGAGGGGGGCCACTCTCGCATGGCACTCAAATTCCAAAACCCACCTCGTGCCTGGACACTGCCTTTAAATGAGTCCGAGCGCTTGCTGAAAGTTTAGCCAGCGCTCCTGAAAGAAATTATTTGCCGAGCGCTTACAGAAAATACTGTATTGTTGCCCGCTGGCAGAACATTAGACAGTAAAGGAAGTACCGCTCGCTGATTTGGCCACGCCCCAAAATTCTGCTGACCGCTTGCAGAAAAGCGCGAGTTTGCGGACCACCTGCTACCGGCGGTTATCTGAGTATTGTAGCGCTGTGCGAATCGAACCTAAACTTCGTTGATGTATGCAGGCACTCGTAGGGCAGATGTAATTGTTTAGTTTTCTTTGCAAATTTGCTTCAGAGGACACTAGCCGAGACTTCTGAACGGGATTCTGGCACCAGTGGCTGGGTGTGGTGCAAGAGGAATTGCCAGCCACTGGTGCTAATCCGCTATTTGCCCTCACAATTCGCAAAATGCAAACTCATAAAAAATAGTAGATATGAAATTAATATCTATCTACACAGTTTACTTAAATCCCGGTGGTCTGTGCATTTAGGTGATGTTCTTGCAGGAATAAGTTTGAAATACTTGAAGTTTTACCTTTGAAAACCTTTTTTGACATTTTCAACTAATTTTCACACCACATTTTTAAGCAAACACAATCTGTCCGATTTTCCTGTCTAGATGAAAGCATAAAAGAAGGAAATGCGCTAAATCCCTGTGTGCTTATGGACAAAAATGACGGTGAAATATGCGCGAGTTATTGACACCCACCAGCTATCGGTCCTCCTCTTGCTCGCCACCCTTTTTATTTGCCTGTCCCATTAGATTGCCGAACAAAATATGGAGTAATCTAAGCAAAAATTAGCTCATTCATCAAAGTTTTTCAGGTAAAACAGGAGCAATTGGTCAGAAAGTAGAAGTACTTTTCAACAAGAATGAACTCGTATGGCCGCTATTGCGGTTGTCTTTACCGAAGGACTCTGATTATTTACTGGCTGGTACAATAGAAGATTGCTGGCAGGTATCGTTAGGTTTTCTGTGCGTTATTCTCATGCGTTCGCTTATAAGTCGACAAATGCTCGAGAACTAATTGGTGCTATCGATAGGCTGTAATGAGACTTGAATGAATGCTGCAGGAGTAATTATAATGGAATCCATCACTTTTTATTGCTATCTTTTTGTATTAGGTTGTAAAGAAAGTTCCCGGACACTTTTGAAATTTCATTTTCAAGTATTTTTTCTGCGCCCGGTCGGACTTTGACACCAAGTTTTTTGTACTTCAGTGGAGGGAAGCTTAAAGTTTTCAATACGGCTTCTGATCTTTATCGATGCCAAGACGTGTTTGATCTGCACATCAAAAAGAAAAATCTTCCCGAACATAAAAATTTCACAATTTTTCTTTCTACGGCCATTTTTTATGCAGTTTAAAAAATTTCGTCCAGATCATGAGTGATCTGGTTGAGGAACCTGTTAACTTCCGACCCGCAGCTGCACTCGAGTTTTGCGATTTGTGCTCAGAATCAAGGCTGTCAAACTTGCCTTTGACTCTTTTCGCAGCTGGCGTCGCTTCTGCGGGATCGTCACGCTTGGATGAAGGGTTCAAAAGATGTGTAAGGCATTACCCCAACAATGTTCGCAGTAATCAAAGATTTGGTCCATCCTATGCAGAACGACAAGACTTCAAACTCACTTACTCGAAAAATTGTGCATTTTTAGGGGCAAAAAATGGTCGATTTTTCGAACTTTCTGGAAAATTTTTTTTGCAGGTCGCCCCAGCAGACTTCTGTATAACCTCAGCATCTGAGCTCTCCAGCTTTCATCGTGCCTGAGATAATCTTGCACAAATAGGCCACTTTTCGCGCCAACTTTTGTCCTTTCTGCGCATGCTGGTGGACCGCAGTGAGGTGCTGAAAAGTCAGCAAGACAAATATACGTTGTGGACAAAATTGTCTTTGCAGTAAAGTTTGTAGCTTTGAAAAAGGTCAATCTGCTTAAAGTTACAGCGAAAAAAAATTTCGTAAGTGCCCGGGAACTTTCTTTACAACCTAATATATTCATCACTGAGCTAAGGAGAGCGAAAAAAGGATGCTTTTCTCTAATTGATTTGGCTAATTTTTGCTTCATTAATCCTGTTTTTGTCATGGTATTTCACTATATGGCTAGTTATTTTTCCATTTTACCCGATCACATGTTTGTTCTCCTATTAGTAGGTTTTATGAGGCTATTTTAGCTGAACAACGATGACTGCAGTTTACGAATATCATTCCCTCGTGTTGCTGCTGAAATTCAAGAGCATCTACCAGTAACGCTACCTCGCGAATTCCATCTAGCTGTGATTGATAGACATGAAGAAATACCAGTTGTGAGTTGGTTTTGTTGTCCTTTTGGTAATTCTCTTTTCTTTTTGTCATTAGAAAAACTGCACATGATTGATACAATTTTGCAGTCGGTGTTTTTTCATGTATTGCCGAGTTTTTGCAAGTCTGCAAAACCTGTTTACCGTCTACCTAATGTTAACTTGTAAATTCTTGCAAAGTATGCGATGCATCTGGGTCCGATCGAATAGTTGTTCCGCATTCGCATTATTGCTTTTTTTTCAGTGAATGAGGTCTGCTGTAATCTTGTTTTTAGGCGAATATTTCTTGTGTGAAAGATCTGGATTTCCTCTCTTCGGAGGTAGAGTTTTCATCTGACCATAATAGGAGACGCGTAGAGTTAAGACAATTTTTAAAAGTACGAATATTCACAGCTTATTCTCATCTCTCACTTTTGTTCTTTGCCTCGACAGCCTTCATTTCCCACATTTTCATTGTGCATGCTGTATTCACAGTAGCATTTATAGATTCCGAAAATTTTGCCATCATACCAGCAGTTTTAGCTCAAGATTACATGGATTGAAATTCGGAATATAAAAAGTTTAAACTCGCTCCTATTATCGACAGCCGGCCAATGCGCACCTTTCGACCTCCGTGGTTGGGGATGGGGGGCGGGGGGGGGGGGGTAGGGTACAACCAGCCAGTCTGGATAAATTTTTGCTAAGCAAATAGAACACTAAGATTATGAAATTTTGAACGCCTGAGCTTTCATCTGTCACGTGTTATTCTGTAAAAGTGCATATCCATCCGTTTCATAATCTACCCGCCAATTTTCTGAGGACTTGCAGCGATACCCTATGAGAATTGCGTCCCATAACAGTTATTAGCGTACTACTATGATTGTGGTGGTGCTCTCAAATGATCTACCTAGGCTTTCGAACTACCCTTGCGATTGCATCGGAACGCTACGAGAAAAACTGTAATTGTACCTCAATATCCAAAAACCCAACGAAGAACAATGTTCATCATTTGCGCGAACTCTTTTTTATTTTACCGGTGGGTAATCTACTTCACAAAAATAGTCGCCGTATGTTCCGGTAGATGTTGTTCCGTCATCTCTCAGTCGAACTTTTCCAATGCGTGAAGAATCTGGTTTGCGCTAAGAACTGAGATTCTTAATGCAACCCTTCGTACGTATAATCAACAACCCCATTTCTGATACAGGAATGGGGAGTTCTTTGCGAATCATTTCTTCTGTGGTGAACTATGAATCAAGAGAGATCTTTGAAATGGCAAATAAACTCATAAAACTCATAAAATAGTTAAAAATGTTTTTTTTCGAACGCGTTGGACGTTTTCTACCTTACTATAGAAACTAGAAACTTATACCATTTAGCGTAGACGTTTCATTATATCAGTCAACATCTGGGGAATAAACACTGACAAAAAACCCGTACTGACCAATCATCGTATGTCATGTTACTTTTTTTTTTGAAGTAATTAGTCTTCTTTTGAGACGCATAATTTTTATTGCATTTTTCATGCTCTGTAACTTCGTGATCTTATTGTATATCGTGTTTCATGTTCTCCAGATATCGGTCCACACATTTCGGTATACGGGACCTTGACTTGTTGCAGCTCTGAGAGGGCACTCAAATTCTTTCTTTCTATCTTTCATTTCTTCGCTATTGTGTCTTCAATTGTTTTCCCGTTGTGGTCATCTTCCTATTACAGTTCGTGGGTAAAAAGCTAGATGGCAAAAACTAAGTTTGTATCTGTGCGTAATTGTACCACAGTTACGGAAATTAAAAATTGATCCAAAGTATATTGATAACATTGCGTTGAAAAAAGTGCTGACTTACTATCACGAAAAGCTGCGTTGAGCCATCCGCTAACATTCGCCACATGTTTCAGCACTGATTCTGGTGGTCATTCTCTTACTGGGTTCTTAGCTCGTAAATTAGACTGACTTGAATAAATATAAAAAAGACATTCCATCAGCTTGCTGTTTATTGGTGGAATTCAGTCAATGGCTGCATGAGCAAGCATTAGTTTACCAACAGTGTTCATTATGAATCCTCCGGGCGCGTCGATTTCTTGGAAAAAAGTATAACGAAAGTTACCCGCCAGTATTTTGATTGACGGCCGAAACTGAATATCCCCCTGCATAGTTGATGAGTTCGTGTTCTTGAGTTGCGGGTTCATATTTCACGCTCGCATTTGCAAACGATGGTTTAATATCAGGGCTGCCCTCTCACCCGAGTTTGCCGAGTTTCCTAGTCATTGAGAGCTCAAGGAACGGAACACTCGCACTTTGCTCGCTATGATCTCGTGGTTACTTTGTAAGGTCATATGTGAAGGCATTACTAAAACATTACGTGAATAGCAAGAGAACGCTATCACAGCACGTAGTTACATGGAAGTCAGAAATTTGGCGCGCTTTTGATTCATTCGCTTCGTCCCTTGCCGATTGTTCGGAAGCGCTGTAAGTTTGAGACTGATGTGCTGAATGTAAAATCAAATTACAGTACGAAAATTCATGTTGTACAATGTAGAATTCCAAAGTTGGGGTCATTTTCGCTGCGAAGAGTAGTATAATTTGAGCGATTATCTTTTTGGATGTGCCTATCGCCTGAGCTAAATATTGAGAACCCCATAAAAGGTTTGCTCAACGGTAACTTGATTTGAGTAACTAACAATAATACTTTCCCGTAGGGTGATGGTACGCCTACTTCTGTCCTTTTTTTGTATTTTTCCTATAGGGTGTGGTACGCCTACTTCTGTCCTTTTTTTGTATTTTTTCTACACTTCTTACCGTTTTACTACTTTCCCTATCCCTACATATAGCTTGTTATCTCGAAAATTCTATACAGCCATCAGCTGTGCGTCTCTCATATGCCTCGGCAACCTGTCCCTCTGGCATCTGCTTTCCGATGTGATGTTTGTTGCTGTAGGAGGCTCACCGTCACATCGATTCTGAGGGGCCCCGCGCAGCTCCGCCCAGTCGACCTCACCCTTTGGGCCGACGGACGATAGTGCGATCACAACTGCCTGTCGTTCTCTGGTATATTCATCTCCTTTTTTGCGGTCCTGTCTCCCTTGTGATCCTCTTGTAATAGATTGTATCGTGGTTTGGTAAAGTCTTGATTGAATGGTGAGACTGTGCTCTTTTTCGCCTTTTCAATTCAAACAAGTTTTGTAAATCAAGAAACTGTTATGGAAATGGATTAATCATCTCCTTGTTCAATAGGCTGTATGATTTATAACTTCCAAGTATGAGCGATGCCTTCCATTCGCTGTAAAATGGGCGCATAATGAAGATAAATGGCTTTTCTTGCATAAAGAAACTATGAAAACTTTTTCTCAGTTCAGACAAAATTGGTCGCTTCTTTAAAAGGACTTTCAAACCGTGAGAGCTTTTGTTTAACCAAAGTTCTATTTATAACCTCTGTAAAAGCAGTTTGGTCGTTCTCTGCATGCAGAGCAGTGACTATGTGAGCGCGAACGTGCCGCTCGATGTTTACAGGCGAGGGACCCCATCGTATTGGACTCGGAAGGGAAGCACGAGGGTAGTTATGTGTATTTGTGAGTGATCGGAGAACACTCAGCTTCCCCCCCCCCCCCCCCTGCATTGTCCACTATGCATCCGCTTTGCGCCGTTGTAATGTGGGAGACTTCAGGGAGTGACATTCATTTGGGAGTGTAACTCTTCGTATATTTGACAAGCCTTGGCTCGGCTATGCCTAGTGACTGCAATCAGGATAGTTGTGGGGAAGTATAGACTTGTCGCTTAGCTCCAATCATCTTCAATTTTGGTTTTTTATCCTGTGAAAGCGCAGGGTTAGATTTCATTTATTTACAAAGGACAAAAAATGTGCTTACTGTTTGCTCCATACAGTAAATCTATGTTTGACTGTTCTTACAGTAATGAAGAGGGACCGGTAATTTTTGCTTCATACAGTAAATCTATGCCGGCTCTACAAGAAGGTACCTAAATGTTCTCGAAAGATTTCACGACAAAAGACTTATTAACGGTCACTGTGGGCACATTATTTCGGGCTCTCTGCATTTGTACGATTGTTTATCGGAGCCGCAGCGCCGCCGCAGTTCCTAGCAGGCAGCGAATCAATTCATCCAGCAATGTTATGGGTTTTGACTGAGTTTTACTGCACCTTCAAATCTTATCTTTCTAGCTCAGGCCAACGACTAAGCGCGTGATACCTCTTGTGCTAGATTTTCCCATCTCACGTAGCGTCTTCCCTATCTCCGATAACGGGACGATCACAATCGCGCTGTTCTTTAGTTGTTATGAAGTTCTAAAAAGAGCGGTGGTGAACTGAATGGGGACGTACAGCTTAGACGTGAGTGTAAAGGCAAATTTACGCTGAGTACTCTTTTATTTAACTTGTGAAGTGAATTTACAAAGGCGACGGAAATAGCCACTCATTGTGTAATGATTATGAAGAGTCATTATTATCTCGCTGTTGCCTATTTGAACCATTACTTCAATCGCCTGAACTTTGTGCTCAATGTATTGACGGAAATGAAGTGCATGAAAACTTATATTTAATTTATGTGAAACGTGATAAAATGTACATAGACTCGGACACGAAAAGTGAAATGTATATATATGCTCACTCTATTAATTATCCCTGTTTCATTTGTTACAAACTACAAACTTCAGTCATGTTTTGATTCTTAATTTTCTGACACTATCGGCTATCAGTGATCGGTGTAATCCCTCCAAATTCGTCTATCTATCGTGGTTATGACCTGGGAAAACTGTTCTCCATATAGCTCATTCGAATGCTGAAGCCAGCTATTGTTTAGTGGCTTGTTGTCAGTGGTTCATTTTATGCTGCTTGTTAAGGTGGAAACATTAAAAACGACGACAGGTCTTTCTTGAGCTCAAGCTCAGATTTTGAAGAAGTATCTCACAGCTACTTTCTCTTATATCGAAACGCAGAGCATTGCTAAACCTTTTCGTACTAATTTTCTTTTGTAAAAGAACGACCCAGTCTGGATTTCTATATATAGATAAAGGAAGACTTTTTCACATCTAGGATTGTTTAGATTCTCATTAATCCTTGCGAGAATCTCATAAGCTTCAGCTCTTTCGAGTTTTTTGTTTTTCGAGAGGGTGTAAGCATCATGTGATCATATAAGCTTCAATATTGACCCTTACTGTGTAAGTAATTTCCTTTCAAAAGAGAAAATTTTTTCCCTATCTTGCGCTCAGAGAGTAAATTTGCGTGAGCAAAACACACAGAATCGATCGCTTTTTACGCACCTTGTACACATTTTGAGTGAGGTTACTGTAGAGCGGCGATATTGGCCAAAATTTGCATCAGCAGTTCTCCAATTCCTTCCTACGAACCAAAGTTCAAAGTTTGCAAAGATGACATTATGATCTCTCATGGACGAAAGATGACTAGATTTAAATTTCTCACTTCTTGCTGTAGGTTGGTGTTGACTACATGGTTTCCTTTGTCTTCAGCGATTCCAATTCGTTTGCTACCCATCGTTTTTTGTTCTGCAATATTTGAGAACCTTTGATCGTCGTGTTATCAGCGCCGAGTCACATGGCGATTCGGCTCGCTCTCGTAAGTCGACCTTGCTCTCCTTGCATCGGTCATCCCTCCCCGTACCGTCAGTGATGATTGATCAACCTAAAGTTGCAAAATTCTGTTTCGCTGCTGCTGTCGCATGTGAACAAAATTTTTTATGTTCACGCTGAGATTGGAAAGGAATCGTAGCTCAGATATTTGCAAGCCAATTTCCTTTCATAAAGATTTTTTGTTTTTGGGTGGAGGAATTTTTGCAGTTAACTTTTACCTCGTTGGTATATACTAAAGTATGCGTTTCTCACACCGAAGTCCGTAGAAACTCGCACCAAGATTTCCACCATTTCTGTATGGAGGTACACTCTTAAATTAAGGAAGAAGTTGTTTTACTTGAAGACAAAAGTCTTGTTCCACTCACTTCTCTTGTGATATCTCATAAATACTCTAGCTTTCCATCTAGGTTTTCAATACATTGTGAAATTGGCAGACGGTCTTTTTTCCAGTGACTTTTTGGAAGATTTGCTTGACACGCGTGCGATGTTATCGGTAGTAGCGGCGTCTTTCAGCCACTAATGCTAGGCGTCTTTTTGCATCATCTTTATGAAACTAATACTCTTGGGTTTTTTCTGTGGATCATTTAAGTTTCAGTGTTGAAATCATGCGTCTATGAGTTATGTCATTCTGCTTTCGAAGTCGTTGCCTAGTGTAGATTTTACCTTCTATCTTGAATGCACATTCGTTGTTAATCGTTGTGGCGTGAAGATGCTCACGTTAGCTATGGTTCAGTATATACTGAGACTAAAGACTGCGGCGACCAGCGTGAGAATTCCCATTATATTGGACTTTAGACTCAGTGTTCTCGCAGTTGCTGCACAATCCAATTTTTTGAAGCCATTAATGAGAAGCAGCTGTAGCTAGGGTATCAACTTTCTTGCTTTCGCTCATAAACTTCTAATTCATTATTTTGAGTTGAGTTTGCCGCGGTTTATTGATCGCTAGTTGCTGTTTTCAGAATTGAGAGCCAGCTTCCTTTTTCAAGTGTGCAATCAATTGACTTGGTAGTCTTGCTGTTGAGCTGGATTGTTTCATCTCAGATTCACAGACCTCGAATGTTGTTTTTTGGAATAGTTAGAAAGTTAGACGAATTTTTCCCATGCGGAAGTTCTTTTTGGCTAGAGGGCGTCTGGCAAATCCTAGTTTCTAACATTTCAGATTTTGTTTAACTTACAAGGGAAGCTTGTCTAGTCGAAGTGGTCTTTCTAGGCGGGATTATACCTTGTTGAAGGGCATAAAACGCTAATTCCAAATCTGCCTTCCTTATTTGCGAAGGTTTGTGGAAGAGGAGTTATGAACGTTTATTGGAGTGAAAAACTGAATGTGCATTTAGAATGAGTTGCTAAAATTTTGCTAGCCCTTGAATAATGCAACCGAGTGTGATATATCTTTCATCTTACACTATATACTGAATAAAGTGCTTTGATGATTATCACTGTCACATTGAAGACCTAGGAAAAGTATTTTGACTATTTTTGTCCTACTTGCACATACAGTTTTTATTGCTCCAATAAGCGCTCATAACTCCTCGACCATAAACGTTCCGCAGATAGGGAAGGCAGAATTGAAGTTAGCGTTTTATGTCTTTTAGTATGGTACAATTATCACCTGAAAAGGCCACTTCGACCAAGCATGCTTCCCTTGCCTTGTGCGAGTGTGATAATTTCAAAAGGTAAAGCCAAAGCGTGACTAATTTTGCGTTCTCTAAAGAATTTATGGAATATATATGAGTTTCTGCTATACTTGTTTCAATCAACTCTCTTTACAAACCGTTCCTTTGAACGCCTGTTCCATTGAGACTATCTTGATTTGATTTCAGATCATGCAATCGTGTCAAATGCGTGTGGACGAGCTTCGTCTGCGTCTGGAACAATCTCTAGCGTCTTTCCAACACTCCTCTCAACAAAGGGACAAGGCGCGCTCGCTCCGCATCGTGCGCCAGAACGACATCGAGGCGATAATCGAAGTCAACAACGTACGTGAATTCGATCCACGCGATCTCACTTTTAGCAGATGTCTCGATTTTTAGCCTGGGGAACGTTCTCGCTTTGATCGTCTTCTGGCAACATCGCCTTTGAATGTGATATGCTGTAATGGCGGTGCCTCTGCTCAGGCGGTTGCATCCAGCCCGGCAGATTCAACTGATTCTGGTGTGGCTGTCTCACCGTTATCATCGCCCTTTAGCAGTGCCAAGTACTCTCCGTTCCAACAGCATTTGGGTGGGTCTTGGCGTATTTTCTTCTATAAATTGAGAATTCGAAATTTCACACAAAGTTAGGGCTGCACATGAGCCGCGCGCGTGGAAATTCTTCAGTGTCTGTTTCCTCTGTATTCATCTAACCACCATACAAATTAATAACTACAATACAAATTTTTCAAATGATGCGGGTGGTTTAGTCTTACGTTTTTCTGATGGACGCGATTTGTTCCTTTGTTTCTTTTGAGCAGAGATAACAATCTTGCATTCATATGTGTTTACTATATCAACAAGCGATTTTATTATGCATCGTGTTAATAGCATGCTTGAAAATTCGTTATGAATCAAATCTTTTTCACCATAGAATTTCTTTTTGTAGTTGCCAACATTTCTTTTCTGCAAAAAGTGATTTAGGCGCGAACCGACAACGTTCTGCGAGCGATTGTGGTGATTGGGATGGCGTCGTACTGAAGAGCATCCTCAAAAAACCTCATCGCAATGATCGCTTCTTGAGGCAAGTTTTTTGGATCATTTGCCTCTACTCTTATCTCTTTGAAAATGTGCTTTTATTGCATTTTTTGCAGGTCCCAATCGGAGTCTCAGCATAGCGGCTGCGGAGACATCACGTCGCAGCTCTCGCTACTAATGGAATCGACTACGGAAGTTGATGAAAATGAAGAGCGGGCCGATTTAGGTAAGTTCATTTCCTGCAAAGTGAGCCGACTCCTTCAACTTTCACTTTCAGACGGCGAAGTGGTTACTGAGCATCGAAAGAAACGCGTCTCATTTAGCGAAAAAGTGCAGGAGCGACGTTTTCGCGTTGGGCAATGTATACTAACCGCGGCTAGGAAAAATGAAAAGAAACGCGCTTATCGCAGACGGAAAGAAGAAAGGGAACGAGCTCAGAGCGAGGAGAGTAACGATGATAGTCGCGGTGATGATGGCAGCTTTGACAACGACGGTGAGGATTTTTCCAAGGGCTAGAGGCGTATCAGCGCGTTTATCTGACAATGAGGAGCAGCCCACTCGCAATTCGATATTACAATTCTGCCCGGAAATTTGCTATTCCAGCCAAATAATACAAAAGCCAAGTCTATAATGCGCAGCGCATTATAGACTTGGCTTTTGTATTATTTGGCTGGTGCTTGTCAGCAAGCGTCTAGCATATATTTAGTTTCGCTTGTCTTAAATTCAACTTCCACCCAAACTCCCGACTTCCATATTTTAGTCGTTTCGGGGCATTCTCATGTCCCTGATCCCGAGTGTGAATTCGAGAATGCGTGAGAACCCCAACAATTCCGTCACGGTGACTTGATGGGCGAGCACGGATGGGCGGGCATTACTGGAGGGGGCGGTGCCGCCTAGGGTTGCTCTGCCTCTTCGTTATTTCGAGCAATTTCTAGCTTTCGAAGCGACATCTTGCACCGAACCTAGGCATTAGCTTGATAGGGGTAGGGGGTCCTACTATCGCATGCTGTCAAAAGGTTGAGACCCCTGACTTAGGGTGGGATGCCTTTAACTCCTTAAAATGATCCACTTTTGTATATTTCCAAGACTATGCTTCAAGCATTTTGAGCACTCCATACTCAAGTTCTGAGAAGTTTCCGAAGTCTTGTTAGGTCTAAAATCGCTCAACTCCATTAATGTTCGCGCGAATTGTGTTTCAGTCGCCATTGTTAGCCGATATCTCGGTTGAATCCTATAAGAGAGTGGGTTCGTTCATTTTTGCTGCAAGAAAAAAAAATATATATATATATTTCTAAAAATCCCTCCTGCAAAGACTATTTGTTTCCTGGGTTCAGATTATCCTTTTTTCTTCTTCAGAAAAGCCCGGTTTACGGTCTGATCGTCAAGATAGTGGATTCGTTGACGGCGATGATGATTGTAATGGCGTTGAAGAAGTTACACCAGTACAACCTGAACAAGATGTTTGTAAAAAGGATCGTTGGGAAGATACGGCTAGTAAACAGAGAGAGGTAAGCTGATAGTTGAATTTTTCAAGTATGGCGACTTCACTCAGTTTTTTTAGGTTGCCACTCATTAGCTAGCTTCCAAAAGAGAGTTAGACGTTCCAGACGCGGATTTTGCAGTTGACCATCTTTTCTGTGTGAAAATTGCTGTACAAATTGAGCTTCTATTTATATCTATTCTTGGGTTCACCATTCCTTATTCAATAATGTTCCTTCCTTTTACGTTGTAGTCAAGTTGAGAATGTACAAATGTAGTCATTTTTTCCCGGACGTAAAAGCCTTCAAGTAACGAGAGATATTTATTCCGGGTGTTTGCAGTTTCTCTTTGAGTTAACTTCGTAGAGTTTTAGTGCCGTAGTAATTTCTGTAGCGAGTTGTCATAATTTTACCTCCTTAAGAGGAAAATGCGTGCAGTTTCGTAGTCTATGTCCTTCCAGTAGCTGAAGGCCGCATATCTCTAAAGTTCAAATGTACATATGTATCCCTGCCGTGTGATTAGAACCTCTTCTCTCAATAACGAATTGGAACTGATAATCAAGTTTATTTTTCGTAAGTCTAAGTTATTTTATTTCATTGTGTTGTTGATTTATCGTTATCGCTATTTCTAGTTAGCTTTGTTTTCAAAGAAATTCACGAAAATCTACAAAAAATACGGGGGAGATGGGCGTGTATGGTTGTATGTATGTGTATATTGAGTGGTGTGGTTTTCGGTGCTGTATACAGATACAGTAACGATAGAATGAAGGCAGAAGATGGTGTGTTGTAGTTTTTAATTCAACTCGTCTCTACATCCTGTCGTAAAACGTTCAGAGTCGTGTGCCAAGGCTGTGCCAGCATCGTCCCAATGCTGTGCCGGATCCAGCATGCACGCGATTTGTATTGATCAGTCGACGTTGCGGCACGGTGCTGGGACGATGGATTGTAACACATTATCTTTCTCCTTCTTTCTATGCAACTACTGTGTATGCTGCTTGTGCTAATTTATTTACTATACAATTTGTTCTTATGTAATTATCGTCTTTGTAGAGGCGACCTTAGGAGGTCAGAGCTTTTTCTGCGTAAGACACTTGCACATTGCAGTTGTTTAGCCTGTTTCTCGCTTCAGTTACTGTATCATTGCATCTTCCCATTTCCTTATTCTTCCACTAGTTGGTGTTAAATACTGAATCTGTAAATGAACACGCGCATATCCTTTTTGTGGTGTGATCCTTACTGATCCTGCAGCTCGTTTTATATTTCCCCCTCAATCGGATAACTCGTACCAATGTTTCGTGTAGGCTTCTCTTGTGGTTTGTAGAACTGCTCATGGTCTAGCTTCGCTTCCTGACAAACTTATTGTATGTGGTAGAATAAAAGTTTTATAAGTTTTATGATTGAATAGGCAAACTGAAAAGGAAGCATACATGATGCAATGATTCCCAGTTGTGTATTTCGTCATGCGGTGACTAATTCATGTCGTAAAAGGTTATGACGGGAGATCGCGGTGTTTATAGAAGCGTAGAACAGTCCAACAATGAAATTCCAGTGAATGATGAGAATTCATGTTGAGCAATGAATTCTACAGACGTCGAATGCCGACTTAGACCAATTTTTTAACGTTATCATTTATTTATTTATTTATTTATTTATTGCACCAAAAGTGCGCCATCGACTAGTCAAAAAGTCTAGGCAATAGTCATCAGGAAGAAAAAGAACTCAGATAAAATCATCATTAAAAAAATGTTCTCAATTTTGATACTACCAAACTAAATGAATAGGAATTATAGCATTCAAATTTGGCCACTATATTGCCTGTTCAAAACATTAACATGGATAGTGAATAGAACGTGAGGTTGGACTAACGGTATCAAAGGTAGTTACTTTACATTCTCTATTTAAGTGACCAGATTTGATGTAAAAGGGTGGGACCAAGGCGAATGGGCTAAACCATGCGTACCTCGGTTAATTCGTTGAGCTCACCCTAGCTCCTCTGAAATGTTGCTTTCGGTATACTGCATTAAATCCTATTGCTCTGAGCAAAGTTGATGTAGGAGGGTGAGAGCAAGGCGAATGGGCTAAACCATGCGTGCCTAGGCTAATTCACTGAGCTCACCCTAAGTACTCCTTAAGCAGTCGTAAGCAGAATGATTTGAAATTATCTGAGTGATCAACAGTAGTCAAATTTCTGCCATAATTAGCGATAAGAGTAAAAAAAACGTTTGGTAGAATCAACCTGAGATGTAAGAGATCAGAAGTAAGTAAATTCGTATAGTGTGTCTTGTGCGGTCCTTCATAATAAAGCGGCATCAGAGTAGCTAAAACAACAGAACTCCAAACGCAATATAGTGAAGACTGATGAGAGAGTTGACCAAATAAGATGAAGTTTAAGCTGAAATAATACGTTTTTAAAAACGTAAATGTAATTTATCACCTTCGGTCAATTTCATCAACTTAGCCTTAAAGCATCGTGCATCGCGTGAAGCAATTAAATCCTTGGGCAAGAGCTGAAACCAACGTGTGATCCTACAAAACGGATTGTTATGCATTTTATCCTTATTGCATCTCATAATCTTGACATGATGAAGGTTGAAGCCTCCCAATCTCTGACTAGTTGGCATAAAAATCCAGTATTTACTTGCTTTTAGCTTGATTTCTCCTCTAAGCACTTGAAAACAAAAAATAAGGTCAGAGATATTACGACGAAAGGAGAGACTTTGTAGATTTAGCTTTTTTAGTCGTACTTCATAAGCAGGAGGGGCATTACTAGGAGTGACTCTTCTGTACAAAAGACGTGTAAAAGTTTTTTGTACTTTTTCAAGTTTCTCGATGTCCTTCTTTCGATTGGGGTTCCACACCTGGGAACAATATTCTAGGTGGGGACGAACTAGAGATTTGTAGAGACGCGTCAAAAGAACAGGTGAATTAGTTTTTACACTCCGAAAAAGAACAAACAAGAAAGTATAAGCCCTCCTAATAACAGCATCAATCTGCTCAGAGAATTTGAGCTTCGAATCAATAATGACTCCCAAATCCCTAGCTGAGCAACACATCCTCAAAGCTGTATCATCTACCATATAAGTGCCTGCATACTGGTCACCCATATGTAAGACAAAACTTTTATTCAGATTAACTGCTAGACGCCAGTGATTGGCCCAAGTGACCAGTTTAGTGAGCGATTCTTGCAATGCTGATTGTGCCTCCAATCGATTATCATAACTGTAAGCACCATATATCTTTATGTCATCTGCATATAATTGTATCCGTATGTTTGGGGACGTTCGGAGTATTGTTGGTACATCAAGCGTATATATGAGAAAAAGCAGAGGGGAGAGAACTGCTCCTTGGGGAACGCCGCTTACACAAGGATATGCATCCGAAAATTTATTGCGTACTTTGACAGTCATAAAACGGTTTTGTAGATAGGAGCTAAACCAGTTGAAAAGAGGACCATCAATACCGATTTCCTTCAGCTTTTCAAGAAGCTTAGAGTGACAGACCTTGTCAAACGCTTTGGATAAATCGATATACAGTACATCCACGGATTTCTTATGGTTTAGAGCTAAGATCCAGTCATAGGTACTATCAGCAAGATTTGTTGTGGTAGAAGCACCATTGATGAAGCCATGCTGCTCAGCTGGGATTAGATGTAATTTATTCAGCCTTGCCAGCAACCTACCTCGTATGATTCTTTCCATAACCTTAGCTGGTGCTGGTAAAAGACTGATGGGTCGAAAATCACTGATTAACTTGGCTCCTTGTATCTTTGGGATGGCAGTGACAAGGGCATGCTTCCATAAATTTGGCACCTCACCCAACATCATAGAAATATTGAAAATGTGGGCTAAGGGGGCAGATAAAGCGGATGCGCACCTTTTGTAGACAATTTGAGGAATGCCATCATAAGTTTCTGTGGCAGATGGTTTTAATTTTTTGAGAAACTTGAAAACTTCGGACGGTTCAAAGTACACTCTTATAGAATGATTGTCTGGTGTTACAGAGTTACTGCGTGCAGAAGATTCATAATCATCATCGTTATTGTAAACACTGGCAAAATAAGCACCTAGGACTCTCGCTTTATCCGCATCATCATAATAACTAGACCCAGAATGATCTTCAAGAGTAGGGAGACTGGCACTAGCTTTCATTCTGGAATTTATATATCTATACAAATTTCGAGCGCATGCTTTAGAAGCAAGGCGACGCTCTCGATTAGCTAAAAACTTTTGCATATGGAAGTCAATGTCATGGCACACTCTTTTATACATGGGACTATGTAGTGGATCATGCAATTTGTCGAAAAGCCGGCATTTTTGCATGTTGAGTGCGTCAATGTGAGGAGGGAGTTTTATAAGTGTGTCGCTGGGATATTTCATAGTAACAAACATGCTAAGGCCAGAATAAATTATCTTACAAAATCTAAGGTAAACTTCTGAGCACGACTCATATTGGTCAAATTCTGCAAGCTCTAGTCAACTCTAGAAAGAAAATCATTCAGTGCAGAGTAGTCAACACTATGAAAGTCAGGAAGGGGTATGGATGGCAAACCCATGGTCGCAGGGCCCTCACACTCAAACTGAACCATCCCATGATCAGAGGAGCCAAGCGGTGGGAGAATATCAAGATTAGAAATTCGTGCGTCAGAGGAGAGGACTAGATCAAGGATATGGTCACCATGCGTAGGATGCGAGACAAATTGTTTGAAATCATTATGTTGAAAATACTCAAAAAATGATAGGGATGCACTATTAGTGGCCTTCATAGTGACCCAGTCGATTTGCAGATTGAAGTCACCTAGAATAATCGTGTTATCATGATCAGAAGAATATGTATAAGAACTAATCACATTCATCAGTTGATCATCATTATCTTTGCTAGAGCTGGGTGGGCGGTATATCGCGATGAATCGTAGGCGTAAAGATTGTGGATGGATAATAGTGACAATCAACACATCTGCTAGCAAAGACATTTCAATATTTGTGCATCTAGATGCTATGTTACCTTTTACCAGGCAACAAACACCACCACCTTTTCGATTATTTCTGTCACTTCTGTATAGCACATAAGGCATACCACCCACAACCTCAGAATCAAGTATTTTTACATTAAGCCAAGTTTCAGTAATAAAAAGTAAGTCGGGTTTGTATTCATAGACAAAAGCGTGCAGATAGTTCAATTTAGTTCTTAGACTTCGTGCGTTAAAAAGGATTATTTGTAATGAATCAGTCTCACCATGTCCGTTCAGACGTTTCCCGAGCTTCTGCGAGGAAGTTTAGAGATGTGAACTAATTCATCGCGATATACTACCCACTCTTTGGTGGCCATGCCCTTGTTACGCTCGCGAGCTTGTTGCCGGAGTTCATAATTGCGGGCCCTTTCCTCTGCCGTCATACTCTTTCTAACATAAATGTTAGAATAGCCATTATTTTTGAGTAACCGCGAATTTGATAAAGCAAGCCGCCAATAGTATCGAGAGGGAAATACAACTTTAATCAGCCTGGGGCGAGACGGATTAGGCTTTCCCAATCGGTACAATTCGACAGGCCTGCATTCAACTTTCAACACATCCAATATTTCCCCAACGGTGCTTTCCAGCTGGAGGCACCGCTGGTGGAAAGGAACTTGCTCGTTTGCTTCAGGGATGCCGCTTATTACAATGCTACGACTGCGTTTCTCGGCTTCCAGATCACAATGAGCTGCCATAGGTATTTTCTCACACAATGCACAGAGTAATCTGTCGATCACGGGGTCACTGTTTCTATCTCTAATGCTGGTAATCAAATCTGCAACGGATAGATTTGAAAACTCAGCATCATACGTCTGACTACCTGCATCAACAGATTTCTTGGCTGATTCGGTCCCAGATGCAATCTTTTTGACTGTTTTTGGTGCCATGTTGATTTTTTTTTGACTTAGTGGTTGCACTGGTTTTGCACAAAAAAAATCGCCAGAAGTTTCAAAAGAAAACTCCAAAGATTACTCAGAAGAAGATGAAAATGATAGCCACTGGTAAAGACAAAGCAAAAATATGAAAATAAACGTCTCACCTGAAAAGGAGGGACGCAACTGAAGACAGAACAGCAACAAACAGTGAGCTGTGAGAGAAAATACAAGAGCGGCCGCTCAGCGTGGAAGCACAAACGTGAATGATTTTTGCATTTTATCAATTAATTATCAAAAAATTAATCATCATTTCGTAATTAAGTGCATCATTGGCTGAGGGTAGAGTGGTTCAAACCCGACAAATTTGCTAAAAACGTTATTTTGCTAGAAAAACCCCGAGAAGGAAGTTTTGGCACACTATAAATACGTTAGGACGTACATTCACAGTTTTTGCTTGCTGCAACTTCATTGGCCTTCCTGAACCCTTTTATGATTTAAAGAGTTTACGAGACCGTTTCTAAAAGCTTCTAGATTGCTAGTTTCGGATCTCGGGAACTTACTGGAACGCAAAAGTATGG